AACATCTCTGGAAAAATCTGAAAATGGTTGTGCACCGACGCTCCCCATCCAACCTGATGGACTTGAGAGGTACTGCAAAGAAGAATGGGAGAAATTGCCCAAAAATAGGTGTGCTGAGCTTGTAGCATCATACTCAACACGACTTGAGGCTGTAATTGGCTCTAAAGGGGCTTCAACAAAGTATTGCGCAAAGGCTGTGAATATTATGTACATGTGGTTTTTTTTTTTTTCGTTTTTTATTTTTAATAAATTGCAAAGATTTCAAAACGAACTTCTTTCACCTTGTCATTATGGGGTATTGTTTGTAGAATGTTGAGGGAAAAATTAATTTAATCCACTTTGAAATAAGGCTGTAACATAAAAAAATGTTAAGCGCTGTGATTACTTTCTGGATGCACTGTATGTTTGACTTAAAGCCCAACACCTGGCAACTAAAATATTATTAGTTAGTTGTGATCCTAACAACGCGTTGGTGCATGGCTAGTGCTGACGTCATCACGCTGCCAGAGCCACTGGTGGTCCGTTTCTATTACTGCTCTGTTAGCATTGTACAATGTGAGTATCTTGTTAGAATAAGTTGTGCTTTTATAATATGAGATATTTATCATTTACTGTATATCTTTGCCAGTATTGTGTCACATCCCTGCTGGCGAGGACTGTGGTTCCCAACAGCAGGTCCATACATGAGAACACAGCTGACAGATCTCTTGTTCCAGTGAGTGCTATACAGACCTCCTATAACATGGGGGCTTATATTCTGGTATGAAGCTGGTCTTTCTGTATGGTGGTGGAGTTCACATGAGGTCACAAGGAAGTTCACAGTCAACAGTGATGGACTTTATTAATTAATTTATTTTACTATTTGCACGATTTGAACATTCAAAATGCTTGCACGTAATTATGGACTTATTTGGTGATTTAAAGGCACAGTGCAACAATATTTAGTTACTAGTTGCTCGTTTTGGTCTAGGGGGTAAAAAAAATTTGCTTACCCAATCTTCCCCACAGCTAGACTGGTCCTAGCAGCTTCTTCCCCCCTGCACTCCAGGGTCCTGATGCCATCAAGACCAAAGCAAGGTCCATTCCCTGCTTTGGATGTGATGATGCTGAGGGATGATCCACTGTTGGAGCATGGGGAAGTGCCATCTGCCAGGGGAGAGGAGGGTCAGGTAATTAAAACTTTTTCTCCTCTCCCCTAGGCAAAACAAGCTAATGTGAAATGCTTCTGGAGTTGGGCTTTAACAGGGAGCTCTGCTGAGAGACCACTGCTTTCGCATAGTGAGCAAAAGCCCTACTCTGCAGCATGCTGGCAGGGGATAGGTTTCCTACCAAAGTTGCATTTACTTTGTAAAGAAAACAAACTATTTTACAGAAAACAGCCTAAACGTGAGTAGAAAAGCCTGTTCCCTGCCAGCATGCTGCAGAGAAGGAAATTTGCTTTCTGTGGGGAAGCAGTGGTCTCTCTGCACAGGTCAGAGCTAGAGATCTCCAATCTGCAGGCAGCATGAGCTTTAACAGTTGCAAAGCTATAAGCTTGACTTAAAGCTCAACTCTGGGCAGCTAAAAAGTTGTCCCTTGCCGAGCTGCTGCGGGTGCACTGCAAGGGTTAATTACTCATTTTGGTCGAAACGTAATCACCGTTCAGGGTTGGTCTGCACCAGTATCACCTCCACTGCATACTAGCAGGTGCTGGACCTGTCCATTGCAGGCATCATAGTAGAGAAGAAAAATCCGGTTGGCCGCACATCCAATAAAATCACCTTTATTTAGCCACTTGAGCTCCAGAGGATTTACCCCCCTTAATGACCAGGCCTCTTTTTGCTACTCGGCGCTGCACTAATTCAACTGAAAATTGCGCGGTCATGCAATGCTGCACCCAAACGAAATTTCGTCCTTTTTTTCACACAAATAGAGCTTTCTTTCGGTGTAATTTGATCACCTGTGCACTTTTTATTTTTTACGCTATAAACAAAAAAAGGCCAAAAATTTTGAAGAAAAACAATATTTTTTACTTTCAGCTATAAAAAATATTTAGTAAACTCAAAGTTGGTTATAAATTTAGGCCAAAATGTATTCTGCTACATGTTTTTGGTAAAAAAAATCCCAATGAGTGTATATTGATTGCTTTGTGTGAAAGTTATAGCGTCTACAAACTATGGTATAAGATACTGCAATTTACGCCATTTTTCTGCTATACAGCGCTGCGCTAGTTTAACGGACAATTGCGCGGTCATGCAATACGGTACATAAATGAAATTTACATCCTTTTTTTCCCCACAAATTGAGCTTTCTTTCAGGGGTAGTTGATCGCCTGTGCGGTTTTTATTTTTTGCGCTATAAAAAAAAAGGCTGACAATTTTGAGAAAAAAAAACAATATTTTGGACTTTTTGCTATAAAACATGTCTAGTAAAAAAAATATGCAAAAATCAAATTTAGTCATAAATTTCTGCCAAAATGCATTCTGCAACATGTCTTTGCTAAAAAAAAAACCCAATACGTGTAAATTAATTGGTTTACGTGAAAGTTCTAGCGTTTACAAATGGCGGGAAAGATACTGGAATTTTAATTTTTATTTATACTAATAATGGCGCTGATCAGCGAATTATGGCAGGACTGCGGTAGACATTTTGACACTGGGGGGGGGAACTGACTTGGGGTCCCTGATATCCCCAGTGACACCAATACAGTGATCAATGAAAAAAAAAAAACACTGAAACTGTACTAATGTCACTGGGGAGGAAGGGGTTAACATTTTTAGAATTTTCTGTGTAAGGGGAGTGTTTTACTAGGGGGCGGGGGTGTGTACTGGACGGGGGGGGGGGGGGGGGGGAGGGGGGGGGAGCTGATCGAGGGAGAGAAACTCTGCAGCTTCTCACAAGCTGTCAGAGAACTGACACAGAACAGGGCTGTGTGTAAACAATGCAGCCCTGCTCTGTGTCAGCGATCACCGTCAATCGCGGGAAAACGGCCGGTAAAAACCGGCCGTGACCCGGCGGCTGACACCCGCGGGACAGGTAGGGCGGGCGCGCGCCCCCTACCTGTTTTGAAAGCAGCCAAACGTGCTTTTGCCTACGAGTGCCGCCCTGCCGCCGTTTATATGCGGTGGCTGGGCGGCAAGTGGTTAGACATACTCAAAATAGACACCAAAAGGTACAAAAGAGGGAACATAACACTCCAGCTAACGCATTTCACGCCACCATCAGTGACACCAAAAAACTTACCAGATCCTCCCCACAGACCAGTTCGAGCAGCTTCTTTCTCCCCTACACTCCAACGTTCACAGGTCCTGATGCCTTCAAGACTTCAAAGCAGGGTCCATTCCCTACATTGGATGTGATGATGCTGAGGGACAGTCCACTGCTGGAGTATGGGGGAGCACCATCAAGTAAGTAAAAATTGTTCTCCTCTTCCCTAGAAAACAAGCTATATTTAAAGTTTCCTGGAGTTGGGCTTTACCAGTGAGCGTGCCAGACCTTTTCAGAGAGACCACTGCTTCCATACAGTGAGCAAAAGTCCGGCTCTGCAGCATGCTGGCAGGGGACAGGCTTTACTACCAAAGCTGCTTTTACTCTTTAAAGAAAACACATTGTAACACTTTTCACACCTTTTTGCTTTGATGTAACTGGAAACTCTTTGGCTGATTTATACTGAAAGTTCAATTGGGCTTTAAAGTTACCTGAAAGTTTTTTTCTTTCCCTTAAGTTTTCTGTCTTCCAGTTGGTGTCAGATCTATGTGGATTTGGTCTAATGAAAGCGAGGTATTTATAGAAGCGGGATTAGAGGTAAATCTGAAAATAGGTTAAATCCCAGAGAAAAGCTTTGAAATACATCGTTCCTAATCGGCGGCGAGGCGTTGGTGTGAGGATTAACAGATAAAGGCCTTACCTGACTTTTCCTTTGGTGTTTCGAAGAACAGTTGCTGCAAAGTTCTGAGTGACGCCAACAAGACTAATCCCATCTACTTCCAAGATCTGATCGTTGACGAGGATCCTGAGGACGCGGACAAAGTGACAGTTATTACAGCCAGCAAAGGGAAACGTGCATTCAAACAACAAACGGTGTAAATAAAAATGAAAGATCTTGTGATGAAGGCTCATGATTAGACGAGTCAGCGTACAATTAGAAGACAGGATCTGAGCAGCATTTAGAAGTAATAAGGTGTTCTTCTCCCCCCCCCCCCCCCCCCAACACCCTACATCTTCTTTTCCCTGCTGTCCTTCACCGCTGTCCATTGAACTCTTTAGCTGCCAGAGCTGTTTCTGTGTTTTTTTGCACACGTTAAAAAATTATTTTAGGCCCGAAGATTACTTTAAAACCCCCCAAATATTTTCTGAAAGCAGACACCCTGCAGAATAAAACAGCGGTAGTTCTTATTTTTTAGGTCACACAATATTACCACAACGGGTTATAAAGCAGAAACATTCAGTAAAGAATGCATTAAAGTTAATTGGCACACAATATATTAACCAAACATAAAATATAAGGTTGTGCAGGGTTCATAGATACTTAAAGTGTTACTAAACGCACAACAGTAACATCAGTCTGTATATGCAGTAAAGCATGCTTGTTATACTCACTGTGGAACCTAAGGGGTTAATCCTCCACATTGTGTAAAAACGCTGTTTGATCATGTCTTCTCTGATCCTCCCCTACTTCCAGTGCCCCCCTCTTATCTCCTGATAAGACATATGGAGTCACTCTGCACATGCTCAGTTTGGTGTGTATTGCTATAGAGGTTTTTTTTTTTTTCTTGGGAGAGTGCATGTGATCAGCACAGGGCCAATCAGCACTGTCCAGACAGAGGTCAAGGGTTCTGCATTCTCCTAGAGCAGAATGAAAACTCCTCCTACAAGCTGTAACCAGTGCTCAGCTGGAGACTGATAGAAGTCACAAGACTGCTATATACTGCTGATGAGAAAAGGTATTTAGCAGTTTACATTTATTAAAATAATTGCATTTCCATATTCTGTGTACTGTGGGAGACCGGATATAGTGAATGCAGGGTCCGGGGAGACCAGATATAGTGAATGCAGGGTCCGGGGAGACCAGATATAGTGAATGCAGGGTCCGGGGAGACCAGATATAGTGAATGCAGGGTCCAGGGAGACCGGATATAGTGAATGCAGGGTCTGGGGAGACCGGATATAGTGAATGCAGGGTTCGGGGAGACCGGATATAGTGAATGCAGGGGTCCGGGGAGACCGGATAGAGTGAATGCAGGGTCCGGGAAGACCAGATATAGGGAATGCAGGGTCCGGGTAGACCAGATATAGTGAATGCAGGGTCCGGGAAGACTAGATATAGTGAATGCAGGGTCCGAGGAGACTAGATATCGTGAATGCAGGGTCCAGGAAGACCGGATATAGTGAATGCAGGGTCCGGGAAGACCGGATATAGTGAATGCAGGGTCCGGGGAGACCGGATTTAGTGAATGCAGGGTCCGGGGAGACCAGATGTAGGGAATGCAGGGTCCGGGGAGACCAGATCTAGTGAATGCAGGGTCCGGGGAGATCAGATATAGTGAATGCAGGGTCCGGGGAGACTGGATATAGTGAATGCAGGGTCCGGGGAGACCAGATCTAGTGAATGCAGGGTCCGGGGAGATCAGATATAGTGAATGCAGGATCCCGGGAGACCAGATATAGTGAATGCAGGTTCCTGGGTTTAGTAATACTTTAACATGTGAAGTCTAAAAGTGGTAGTAAGCCGCAAAAAAATAGAAAAGAAAACTGGGCCCCTGCAGGATAATGTCAAAATCATGCAAAATCATGACAAATCAACCTTAAAATGAAGCCCTCCAGTGGTGTGCTGTCAGTGCTGCCGGGGCTTCCATCTTCACCCGGTCTTCCTTCTGGATTTGCGGACTTCGGCCGCAATGACATCACCCCTGTGCATGTGAGTCATGGCCATGGCACGGAGCTCTGAATGGACAGCACGGTCCATTCAGAGTGCAGTGCGCATGTGTCAGTGACATCACCGGCTGCTGCTAAAGTAAATATTTTCTAAATGGTGGATGTTTAGGAGATATTTACTGTACCTACAGGTCAGTTTTATTATAGGCCTATCTGTAGGTATAGCTGAAAAAGATGACTTTATTACCTCTTAAAAGTTGCTTGCGCCTATGAAACAGCGGCAAACTTCGCTACCTTTAATTTTCTATTGGTGATGCTTTAAACACCTCTACATGTCATCAGTGTAACAGTAACTGTGAAACATGGGTCTAGAATTATTGCGCTCTCTCCGGTGTGCGCAGGATATGTAACATGCGTAGCATAATCAATGTTTTCACGCATATTTGCTCTTGATGCGCGTGTATGTAGGGGGGGGGGGGGGTCTCAACATTTCTTTTTTTTAAGTGCTTGGGTGTATCCTTAATGGTTTTACACTTTTTTCACAAAACTTTATTTTTCATCACATAGGGGACATAAAGCCATGTAATTTTTTTTTTTTTGGTAACAAATTCTCTTTAAATAGACATCTTTTAGACCCCTGATGATGTCAATGAAGGTAATGGAGTGCAGATTTTGCTCCATTAGCTTCTTCTTTGGCCACATTGTCGGAGAAAGTGACAGCCGTATCTGGATGTGATGTTGTACATGTCACTTCTGGGTTCTTAATAGAAAGAGGAGATCAGCAAATGGGTGTTCACTGATCTCACATCCCTCTATATGGATGCCCCTGATGACATCATTCATGATGAAACACATTGGGTGGAGTCAGAGGGTGTGACGTCAACGTGCAAGCGTGTGTACCTCCAAGAATTCCGTGTTGTGTAGTTTCTTACATGATTTTTTGTACAACATCTATGTGTTTCTAACTGATTTTAAGCCTAATATTTGCTGGATTTACACTATTGGATCGGTCTTTGTGCCTTTTTTTATATATAATGCATTGGTCTGGTTTATGCACATGAGATATTATTATTATTATTATACAGGATTTATATAGCGCCAACAGTTTGCTCAGCGCTTTACAATGTAAAGGGAGACAATACAGCAACAATACAGTTCAATACAAGAGGGTGAGGAGGGCCCTGATCCTGGGAGCTTACAATGTAGGAGATATGAGCTCCTAGGAAGGTGTCAAGCTTGGTGGTGACCAGTCTTTGGAGTAATACACAAGTGTTGTCTGACTTGAGGGTCACAGTCTCTCTGGTAGTCTCAGAGCAGTTGGTGAAGCACATGGGGTGCTTTGGATGTCCATAACAATGAATTCAAGAAGAAGATCCTTTTTCTTGGCACTTTATTTCACTCACTTGGTGGGAGTCATCTATGAAATTTTGGACGTTTTGGTTAACCTAATGATCTTGTTTTCTGTCATTTTTCTGTTTTATTTTAGCGCTGCACTATTTTGTTCTTTATTGCTGTAATATATAGTGTATCCTATGTATGGTGCCAGCAGCTCTTTTGAAAGTTTTTTCTAGAGCACACATTTCATCAACTGCCTTGCCAGTCCTGAGTCTGCCAATGGCAACCCGGAGCCTGGAATACATGGCTTAGGTATCACAGATCGGTGAGGTTAAAGCAGCGAACCCCCAACTAAAGCTGGCCGTACCCTGCTGGAATTTCCTTCAAATTTTACATTTCAAGAATGTTCATTTTTCGATTTTCCAATCAATAGTGGGGTCAATTCAACGTTTGATTCAACATTGAGAAATTTCGAAGGCTCGTGATGGAAATTTTTTTGTGGAACAAACTAATTTCTAATAGTGTATGTGGTTTTCATTTCATTTGTTGCAACACTGAATGCTAAGGCTACATGTAAACAGGACACTTCTGAACGATGGAAACTGACTGCTGGAAAGTGTAGGTTAAAAAACATCTGTTTAGCCGCGTTTGCATACCGCATTTATGCGCGTTTATGAGCGTTTGCGTTTAGAAGCGTTTTTTAAAGATAACCTCAGGAGACCTTCCAAAATGCCCAGAATGCGCTGAAAAACAGTAACATATTAACCATTCAGACATTTTGAGAGAAATAGAGAGAGCAGAAGCAGAGAGAGCAGTATGTGTTGAGATTAGTTGTCTTTTTTTTTGTGGTGTTTGGATGTGTTCCAGCTCATTTCTGCATAGAAATTATTGCAGCAGTGTCTAACATGTTTTCTTTCATGTGAAACCTCAAAGTATGGTGTACCGGGTCCATTTGAGTACCGGGAAAATGGTTTGCATGCATTTTTCATGATGAAAAAAGGCTCTGGACAGCATCTGCAAACGGAAGGGTTATAAAAAATTTTCAAACGCAAACGCTTATAAATACGTTTAGCTGCATTTACAAGCATTTGGCGTTTGAAACGCTGATAAAATCTACTCCTGAACGCAAGTTTTCTGCGTTCAAAAAAACAAGTGTAAACTCAACTGCTTGTAAAGGACTGTAAACGACGATGTGTACATGGACATATAGGAAAACATTAGGGAGAGTTCAGGGGCTGCCGAAAAAAACGCAGAAAAGCTCCTGAACGTGAGTTTATCAGCTGCAGTGTACATGAGCCCTAAAAATAAATTAAACTTTGAAGCACTTTCAAACGATATTAGTCACGTTATTGAATGTACTGAGAATTTTCACAGGAATTTCTGTATGCAAGTTTGTTCAAAAATCTACTATTGTATGGCCAGCTTAAGGCTCTACATGCAGAGTGGCAGGGGGTGCCGCAGAGCGCTCCAGCACCTGGCAATCTATCACAGGCGCTACTTTTTTCCTTTTTTAAAAAAATTATTACAGTTATTTATAAAGTGCTGGCAATATATGCAGCACTTGGCATACTGGATGTTCCCACCAGTCCCTGGCCCAAGGAGCTTACAATCTAAGTTCCCTATCTGACATGTATACATACACATAGTAGGAAACTGACGTATGCACAGGAAGAACATGCATAATCCACACAGATAGCATCCTGACCAGAACTCGAACTCAGTACCCGAGAGTAGAGCACATGACCGCGATTAGCATGCATGGCTCTTTCCAAACAATTGAGGAAGATAAGGAGAGGTTCCGGAGCTCATGGAGGACGTTACAAGGAGGCAGAAAAACACAGCAAGAAACAATTTCATGAAAAATCAATGATACATTAAAGGATACAAATTACAGTGAATATACCCAGTGAAGTGACTGGCCTCATGTGCTACACGGAGATTAACCAAATTCTCGTATATATTATTGTTATTATTATTATACAGTATTTATAAAGCGCCAATAGTTCGCTCAGCGCTGTACATTATAAAGGGGGACAGACCATGTGACAGAACAATACCAATACAATGCAAAACATGAGGGGATCGAGGGCCCTGCTCTTTCAAGCTTACAATCTAGGAACGTGATACCTGTTTATCTGATGCCCTCTTTCCCCTACAGCAATTTAAAGCGCAGAATTTATACAGCTTGTCTGAGCTGCTAGAAAGCAGGGGACGGGGAGCTGAAGTTACACTCTACAGAGCTCAGTGAGTGCTGATTGGAGGGAAGAGACACACCAACCCTCACACAGCACACAGGAACAGAGTAGAGGCTGTCAATCACAGGCTGTGTGCTGGAGCTCCCTACCCATCACCATTTTTCTCTTGATGTCAGGAAAACATGTCGGAAGTCACTCATGCTGATAGCAGAGGAACGAGGCAGCAGGCAGAATTGACAATTGGATTGAGACAAGTACACATTATAGAGGGATATGCTTTGTTCATATTTCATGTTTGAGGTTTGCAAACACTTTAATACAGCTCTGTAATCATTAATGCATCATTAAATGTATTTTTTAAACACAAGCAGTGTAAGCACCTGGATATGACCTGATATGAGCCTTGTGCAGTCCCCTGTACAACAGAGCTGGAGTGTGAGAGGAAGAAGCAGCACAAGGAGGCAATAGGGGTTATTTACTAAAACCTGAGAGTGCAAAATCTGGTGCAGAACTGCAAATCAGCTTCCAGGTTTTATTGTCAAAGCTTAATTGAACAAGCTGAAGTTAGAAGCTGACTGGCTCCCTTGCACAGCTGCACCAGATTTTGCACTCTCAAATTTGAATAAATAGCTCCCAAAGAGTGTCCTGACAAGAAACATGCTGACAGGAGAAGAAAGCAGAGTTCCAGAGAGGTGAGCTCATTGCTGTCCTGCTTCTCCTTTCAATATCCAGTCACAGTCACTATGCAACTATGATAAGAGGCATGGAGGAGATCAGCTATGAGAAAAGATTAGAGGAAATGAATTTATTCTCTCTTGAGAAGAGGAGATTAAGGGGGGATATGATCTCCATGTATAATACATAAGGGGGGATATGATCTCCATGTATAATAATACATAAGGGGGGGATATGATCTCCATGTATAATACATAAGGGGGGATATGATCTCCATGTATAATACATAAGGGGGGATATGATCTCCATGTATAATACATAAGGGGGAGATATGATCTCCATGTATAATACATAAGGGGGGATATGATCTCCATGTATAATACATAAGGG